AATGAGTTCATTTTCACCAAATGCGTTCTTATCTCATCTTATCTTCATCGCGTTTCGTTCTCTGATCAGATGTTTAGTTTTAACATAACATCATTTGATCCTTTGATAATTGTATTCCGTTAATTATTAATAAACAGCTGAATAAATAAAGCCACAATGCGACCTTTTATCGGAAATACGAGGTAATTTGTTTAATTTAGGGTACTTCTATTCATATAATATTATAAAGGATATTGTGAATTGTTATATACATTGTGTAACAATAGAGGAATGCATAAACACAGATGTTTTGAATACATTAACCATATAACCGTTAGTGATAATTACGGTAAGTGTTAGAGATATGAAGACGAGAAAAACATTTCATCAACAGCTTAATGATATTCAATGTTTAATTCAATTTTTTAAACACCATTGATTTGCAATAAGGTTTATTTCAATTTTTGCCACAGTGGTGATAGATTTAATCCCACAATACTTGCATTGACGTTTTAGAAGCAATACTAAACGAAAAATATTAAAAACTAAAGAAAATGTATCATTAAGCTGACTAGGCTTGATACAATTGGTCTGGATTTTCTTTTTGTGTTTGCTAATCTACATACTAACTAAAAAAGCTCTATGTTCCCTTTAAGATCACAGACTATCCTTATTTAAAGTCTTTTTTGTTTGTTTTAACTTTACCATTCAAACTCTTTAAATAAACAGTTGTTAGTCATTTCAAATTACTGTTCCGTGTCACTAAAGATACTTTGATGAAGTCGCATTTATTGTTAGCAAGCCACTAGATACAATCAGTAATTGTTTTATGAAACAGCCCATATGGAAGGATAGTATCTGTTTTTGCCTTATCAATTTTGATATAAACCAGAACGGCTCGTTTCTTTTATTATCGTGTTACTCTAATGTTACATGGCATTTGTGTGGTAAGCACTCTGGTGTGAACGAGTCATATTTAAAGGGAGGTAACTCGTACTCTAATGTTTCCCAGCACTAATTGTTACAGTTGCATACTCCAATTAATCAAGTTCGATAAAAACAACACAGTTTTCGTGTGTAACCATTTATTCCATGCGTTTGAATTTCTTTAAAATTAATCAAATTTGTTTTAAATCTCGCTTTAATGGGATGTGTTGAAAGAACTTGCACATACCGGTGCATGCTAATGGCTTTTTCTCCTCGTGGGGTCTACATTAGGTCAAATTACATGCGGCTACAGAAATCGTATTAAATTTCAATAAAATTCTCAGACACAAAGCTGGTAATACTAACGGGTGAACAATTATAAATTCAGTTCAATCGGGGTTTTAAAGACAGTTATTTATTTTACAAGCGTAACTCTTTGATATTTAGAGATATATCATATTACCAAAAGATTATTTCTTTTTAACAGTTTGCTATTAATCATTTTCATCTGTCTTAATGATATAAATTTTTGCTTGGACTACCACCGATTAATAAATGTGATTATTTCAATTATTGAATTGTATACTTTATATACAAATGAAGAAGCACAAAAAAGGCAAAAAGGCCTATCAGTTAGTCTAATTTATATATATATATAATTAGTATTAAAGTTATCTTGAAACATTATTATTTTTATTTATTTATCAGTCTCTACCGTTGTTTCGGCTCTCTGTTACTGATCTGTCAATTTTCATTCTCTTAATCTCCTCCACTAATAATACAAGGGCTCGCGAATTTGTGATGTGTACTTTTAAAGGTAGATAATTGCTGATTGTTTTGGGGAATAATACAAGCAGAAACAAACTAATTACGTTGCTTAATATGTGCAAATTAAAAACAAATTCGCCTCATGAAATTACAAATTGTAAATTTTTCCTGATTAGGTCTCATACGAAACACTTGTATAAATCATATATATATTTATAATGTCAAACAATTAGCGTAGTCATAAATAATCTTCAGATGTTTTACAATTAGCTTTACATAGATACAAGTTATGAAGTCATTATAAAAATATTATGTATTTTGTGGCGTAATAAATAATCCCGATTAATTAAATATTATTAGAAAATGTCTTTGAAAGAAAGAGAAAAAAAAAGAACTTGTCAAAAAGAAATCAAAACCGAACTTAAATAGATTAAACATCAAACCCGTATTAATGACGTCATAATATTTATATGTGAAGCTATGTGTGATGTGTCTGAAGATTAATAACGAAAGTACTAATGCTTTACAGATTTAACTCTTCGTATGCGTACAGGGAAATAAGAATACCTTTTCGTACATATACACAATTATCACTTCTATCTTAAAACTAGGTTGAAGATAACAGTTTGGCTCTTGTGAAGTCAGTATATCAGTTTTCCCTATAGCGGATCGCTCAAAAGACAGGAACATTTTTACCGATGCTTACTGTTATCCTTTCTTTGACTACTCGTAATCTTAATAAGGAATTCAGATGTGGTTTTAGTTTTGACGTTTGCCTACTGTACTGTCATAACATTTGTGTATTTCTAAGAGATAAATACAAACTACACATTATAAGACTGCGTGCGTTAAAAACGGAGGGAGAAGTGCTAAACTACTTATTATTTTGAATCATCCATGAAGAGGCCCGCCTACTCAAACATCCTTTTTTATCAACTTTGAATTCGTGATCAATTTTTAACTGTTATATTGCATTTGCCTGTGATATAAAACGGAGTGTATAATGTCAAAAAACGCCCAAGCAATGACTTTATTATTCATATTCATCACTAAACCTATCCAAGACTTATCAAAGGAACTTATATATACCAATGCAATTTGAACAATCTATCATTTTATCAAACGTGAACTTGTATAAGCTTGAATAAAATAAAGTTCTAACTGGAAGCCTGATTTAAGATGCGGATATATATGGATAGCGGTTTCGAAACCTACAGATTTAAAAGTAAGTACTAATATTAGCCGACGGGTATAATTTTTGTAGTAATTATAATTAGTGGTTTTATCGACAGTAGTAATGATAACCGGTTATCAATTGTCACAAAAATTAATATCGCTTACTCGTGCCTTAGCTATACACAAGGCATAATTTACCGATATGACACATGCACTGCACATGACGTTTATCAAGCGTAAACCACAATCGTTCAGCCCATTCAAAACGGGAATCACCCCCATGGACACCAGCCATCTTTAGATATCAGGTTTATAAGTGACGGTGTGCCAGGAAAAATAATTCAGATCAGAATTGATAATATTCAATGTTATCGTCAAGATCTTAATTGATATTTAGCAATTATATACAATAAACCTGACCAATTTCGATACCTTCATTTCCATATTAACGTTAAAGACTTGTCTAAATATATGAATAATTATATATACGGGCTCTAAATTTCTGTTGGACGTTTTATGCATAAATGATAGCTTATCAAACATTACTGTTGTTCATTTCACGAAATGCATGTTTATGACGTTCTAGCTACATATTAAGAATTCAACATGATACTTCACCAAAATAGTTTTTGATACAAAAGACACTAACTTAAACATTTCATCGTTCTATATAGTATTATACCATTTTTAATTTTGTTTTTTAAAGATTTTATTACAAAATGCTGTACCTCAAATGTACCTTATTTCATAACTAACTTTATAAATACCCAAATAAATTGAAGAAAGAATAAAAACAAAAACTGCTAACCGACGCAAAATAAATTATTACTGGTATTTTTCAAAATATATATGTTACTTTATTTAATAAGTACGCATTATATAGCTTGTTGAACTGAAGGTTTTTGGAAGCCTATGTCCTGTAAGTTATTTGGGAATTTCCGAGATTTCTATCATCTTTTGATGTCGATTTCAACCTTTTGATTTGTAGTTTTTTGTTAAAGCAATGGTTTATATTTTTGTTTTACCCTGAACCTTACACTTTGGGCCTGGCGTATGTCCATCTGTGCTCGTCACCTCTGATATTTAGTGGTCCCATCCGAGCTGCTTACTCCCGTTCGTCAATATGGTTGTCACTCGTCTTGCTCAATCCCATGACACCGTCAAATGCCAGCTTATTGTAATAGAAAAGTGGTTAATTAGATACCCAATACCTAAACGTATTGCAATATCAAAACAAAACAAAATGTATTATAATGTTGACGCTGAAGGCGATGGTGATAAATTGATTTACGACGAAAGTGATTTCACATTATTAATATGTTTCAAATCAACACGCACAATAAGGCTGGGTATGATCGAATGATAGAAAATACAAAAATAAAGAACAAAACATTAGTGTCAACACCTCTGAAAGGAGAAAAATTGAGGGTATAAGTATGTCAGATTAAAAAACGGAATACTATTCTCTTAAAACCTATATTAGGGATGCAAAAGGAAGATTTTCTGTATATATAATGTAGTTAAGGACCTGTAAAGGTCCATTCCATCAAACATTTTGAAAGAACCAATCGCAAACCTTCTCTGCATAAAGACATAACAATTTACTAATTGTACATTAGAATTTAGACTTTATAAGTTGCATTGCTTGAAATTGCGGAATAAAATACCAACCCCTCCCATTTTAAAACAAAAACAGGTATTCCGTCGTCCTTCAGTTTATTTTGATAAAAAAATGTGAAAAAATGTCATGTCTCAATGTTTTTAATATAATATTATGTAGGTGATTCTGCATTGTTAATTGTTACAAACTATAAGTTGATATACAACAAAAATTATTTTCTCGTACAACCTACGTTTCCATGCCTTAGTTACACGTTGGATACCTATATAATCGTTATTCTATTTTTGTTTAAAATCGCTTCTCTTTCATCGTGACATTGATTTGTGATGATATATTAAGAACAGATACGCAGTGTGGGTCTCTATCAACTGACGTCGTAAGATTAACACTGATTAGCAACTCGAATGTGTTCAGCCAGTAATATCATCGATAGCTAATTAATGCTAGTTCCGTATCGCCATTGGCTCCTGACAAATATGATATGTTATATAGCACCACAGTCATGTAATCTCAAACTAGTAACGGGTACTGTCAGCATCGCCGCGACACACTGGTGAGTAGTAAAATGTGTTTTTATAAATACTTGTGCAATTATCCTAAATACATCCGCATGATAACTTTGCATACATCATAAGCTTCTATAATTAATACATTTGAAATACTTTCGGAAACATTAATTGGGATGTGTTCGTCTTTAAGGAATCGTTATTGCACATTTCTTTTGTGTTTCCTTATTGTCTATATAGGTGAAAGATTGTGACAATGTCTTTTATAATTGTATTCACATGGGCATTTCATTTGTGTTCTTAAATAACAATTTGTGGATAATTTTAAGTAGAAATCTCACGATGAATATATCCTACCATGTAACAATAGCATTGCAGTGTTTTGAATAATTGTCTATCCAACGAGACAAGTTTCTTTCGAACTTGAGCAGTTTGTGATGATATAAGTACCCATTTGGACATACCGTGACACAATCCAAATCTTATATGTCATATATACCTACAGTTAAATCTTAACTTAGGGACTGCTCAAGTAGTGACTGGATAGAGATATATAACCAAACAGTGTATCTTAATAGCGTATTGAAATGTGAACTTACACGGCTCTGCAGAGATAACAAACAAAACGGGTGTCGCAATAGATAAGATTCCTCCTTATGGATGGTCTTTTGAACAGATTCGGCTCATTTTCTACATGCATATAAAGGATAATTGCTACCTTTAGGTTAAGTTGTAAAAATAATGTTCGAGAAATATGAAACACTATAAGGAAAATCTTCCCCAAGCTTAATATGAATATCATTTACATTAAAGATTGAGCGTGATTTTCGCGTGGGTATATGTATTGCAGTCGGTGCAATATCTACTAACATTTAGACATTCTTCGTTTCCAAATCAACTTTCCGTGTCATGTATTTGTGGGAACAAAAAATGTGAGAGTGATATCAATCTTACCTTTTAAGATTGATAGTCTTTGGGAAGTAATAAATAAAGTCGTTTAATTATCTCCCTATGAGCGAGATATTCCAAGAAGTTCGAATAACGATTAGTCGCCGTTTAGTTTAAATATCATTTCAGCTTTCAATTAAATATCAGATTCAGTTTAACGAGTTCAGTATACCAAATCGGTTGAAAACTGGTGTTTTGATTTGAAAATATTGCTATTGCCCATGACGTGTTCAATTTAATATAATATGTTGGTATATCCTCTCGATATTATTTAATGTTGTGCCCCAGTAGACATTTAGAATTGATTTTGAATTATTTCCTGTTCGACTGCAAATTGAACCTTTGAATGACAATTGTGAGGTTCATTTGTCTTGTTTTACCATGCGCTGTATCCAAAAAGAACATTGGTTTCTCTGGTGGTCAGATCTGAATTGTGTTTGAATATTGAAAGTGTGATTCCGTGCTCAGTGTTACACATCCATCAGAAAATTGGTCAAAGTCTTTTAAACCCTTATTCAATTGATTAAAACATTATTTGACTGTCTATCTAAAAGCAGTTACTGAATTCAATCTCCAATGGCAAAAATTAGATTTGTTCCGATCAGGTTCTGGTATTGTAAATGCTTATTTTTATATTATTACATTTTTTGGATGACTAATATAAAATTGGTTTAAAATTACCCTGTTTGCACAAGAGATAGTTGAGTATGGTGACCCAATAAGTATTAATGTTAGTTAAATGATGAACCAATATACATTATTTTCTTTATTTCCTTATATATTACAAGGCTAATCTCATTTTTAAAAGTAGTACACTATTATTTGAAGCACGAAAAAGGTCTTCAATCTTATTTTAAAACGTGTATTTGATAACGCTATGTAAACCTGCCATCTTTGTTAATTTAATTATTGCTATCATTTCAACACACTCCTAATATCATCTTGTATTGATATAAACCATCTGTACTACGCATGCCCAGCGCGCGTTCGCTTCCTTGTTAGATAATTACCGAACAATTCGTCACCAGACTAGTTTTCTGTGTTATCTATAAAAACATTTCGTCTTGCAGCTTCGTGGTCTTTAAAAGAATCCCCGGTATTAATAACAACAGTACAGATGAGGAGTTTGCCAAAACCACATTTTATGTTGCAAAAAAAGTATTCATTCTGACAGCGCAGCGACGCACCGTCCCGAAGCGTTACAATGGGTGAGGGACACGTAACGACACACTTGTATTAGCTGATCTTTGATCGGCACGCTTTATTAGAAGATATGAATAAATTATATTCATTATCATCACTTCAAGAAAAATATAGCAACATATTTTCTGTTATTTTTTTAGACGATATAACCACAAGTCGTAAGGCGATAACAAAACAGCTACGGTAGTTAAAAAAATGGCGAAGTTGCGGGATATCTGACAGACAGTGAACACTAATTTTGTCCCGACGTTTAATTTTTTGTGGTTTTTAATATCAGACCCATCTCGTGCTGCAATCAATTTCATGCGCTTGAATAAAACTAATTACGTCTGACAATCTACAATAATGTATTCAGGTCGTTATCTGTGATTACATTTCTTTAGATTTTATCAGTTCAGGACCAGTACCAAACATGTTAAAGACTGTCTAACATCATTGACAGAATCACAAAAAGATGTTTTTCCTGGTGATAATATAGATCAGGTTCGATTAATCAGTCAAGTGATATGTTATTTTAAAAGGTCTTCTTACTTTTATCATTTCAGGATTACCTTCAGAAGAATCGCGTGATAGTGCTTCGACACGTCTCGATAGGTTCCGACCCATTGTAGCCACTGTGTCATCCTCTGTCGTCATACCTCACTCTCCACGCTCGCAAGGGGGCGCAACTCCTCCACTTCCGGGCCGCAGCAGCATCGACAGCTCAATGCTTTTACTACAACCGCAGGTAAGTTTTTCCATTATTTCATTTTCGTAAGTTTGTGTTGTGAAATATTGTTAGTTTCAATGACTAACAACTTACTGCTGAAAAACGCTGAACGTTCATGAACCTTATTTAATCAAGATATGTAGAAAAAAACGTACTTTACATACATTTATAAACATTTACATCAACTTCATCGTGATCTAGCTGCTTTAATATGTTACATTACAAAATAAATTTCTTATAACTGACAAGAAGATTTAAACCGATATTTTTCATTTAAGGAACGAATAACAAAAAGAATATAGAGAAAAATTATCTAGCGATTAAATTCCGCCGTATTAATATTAAACAATTTGAAATACGGCACTCGGTAGCGATGATATGGTGTGAACCATCTGGTTTGTGGTGTTGACATTTTAGATTGCACGTGCTCTATATGTGTGGAGTCCGATAATTGTCATAATAGCCGGAGATAAAACGGGAAAATTGGGTATTATTAGTGTACGGTCCAGCAAGTGCCGGCACGTGAATGTTATTGGTTAATTGACGTCTCGTACATATGCCATCTCTCCGCTGACACATTATGTTTGGGCACAGGGCGCTCTCCCAAGAGGAACCATTCATTAAATGTTTCAGACATCCACGTCTCTGTCACGTGACGTCGCTATGACGATCGTTTCGGATCGTTTAATGTGTATGGTATCGTCAAATAGCGGGTGTATGCTCCTGAGATACACAGCAGGCAGCGATTGCCACTCATCTGATTATATTAATGATGTCTGTGATACCTCAATGTATTAATATTCTTAATACTACATTTTTATTACGCTTCAAATTCGAAGAATCATAGTCTTTCACCTATTCTATGACCGTTTGTATTTTCCCCTTGACGAATCTTTAAATTCCCTGCGCCTTTTAGATTTGTTTAAGCTTAATGTATTTTCAGTATTTTAATTGTATCATATAGTTGTCCCGTTTAAAGGGAAGAAACTCTAATAACGGTGAACTTAACGTTTTTCACACTTTTTCAGTTTGTTTTGTTCCGTTAATGTAATTGCCCGTTAAATGCCTGTGAACGGCTCTATGTGTGCTAAGTATTTGTGCAACGATAGTGCAGTTCATAATGGGCCGTTTTAGTGTGCGGCGATATAAAAGCTCGCTGTACCAGGCTGGTGGCTTATACTGGTATAAATGTGTGCACGTGTTCAACTTAAAATGATTCAATAGCTTTTGGTTGATCTGATGGGTTTTATCTGTGATTTTAACTACGAACAATTCGTACAAGTAATCGTAGCGTTTCTCGACATATCTTGATTAAAATTAAATTTATCTTTATTCACACCAGAAATTTTGCAATGAACTATTCCAACCAAATTTGTCATTATGGGTGAATTAATCTGTTTTGTTTAATACCCGTTTAACATATTATTAGTGGTTCACTTATATTCCATGTGTCTGCATCGACACAGTTCATATTATATATCATTTGAATACAAATTCGGCATGTATAATCTAGACATGTATTCGAATTTCCACGTCGGACTCATAGTAATAATGATTGAAATAATCCAGGCTATAAACAATAGACATATTTATAACTTCATTAGATAAATGTATTGCATCTTCTGTCTATTCTGGTTTCTACTGTGCAATTAGTATCTTAGCCTGGATTGCGATTCATGCAGTGATAAGACTATTTAAACACATTCGAAGCAAGAAAAATTATCTTCGGTTTGCTAGTCTCATTTTAAGATGAAAAGATTATCGATCAGTATTTCTATATGCTAAGGGTGTATAATATATGTTACAAACAAAGATTTCATCGTGTTACTTCATTGTAGGCCTCCTACAGCACGGCTTCATCCGGGTTTTCAAGTGACCTCGGGTCAACCTACACGACATGTAGCACACAGCCCGCCATGTCTGCCGAGATTGGAATATTCCCGACGTCGAGCTTTCCTATGGCCGACTACTCTTCGGAAGCGGGATTCTCCCTCGCTGAAAGTGGGGTCGACACGGGGTTTCACGGGGGCTTCGACACGCAGCCGCAGAGTTTCGCAACAACGAGTCATAGCCAAAGTTACCCCGAGTCTTATAGCTACGAGGGTACCTTTATGTTCGAAAAAGACAGTGGAATCGGAAAACAATTCAATGTGTTTACAGATTCTACACCGGCAACAAGTACAGTAGACACCCAACCTCCGCAACAGATACAGAAATACACGGAGCCAATTATGACTTACGAGGGAAGTTTTCAGACTTTCCCTGCACCGGATTGTGGTTTTTTCCAACAGCGTCTTAGCAGCGAAACACAAAAACCTTTCCAAAGACATTGCAATTATACCCCACCCCACGACCTTTATTTATCTCCTCAATCAACGGGGTTCACAGACATGGACCAAAAACAGCCTACCTTCTCCTCGCCCCAGACATTCAGTGAAAACTCAGGTTTATATGCTCGTGAAAGTGGTGGTTTCCAAGGGTACAACCCAAACTTTTACGGGAACAGGACATTACCTCATTCTGAAAGTTGTTATAACATTAGTGAAAGGCCACCTGTCGGTGGGCCAGCCTATCAGGGGGAGATAAACGTACATTCTGGACGTCCCCAATTTGCACGTCGACCCGCCTTGACCATCGCGATGCCATCAAGGGCCTCGGATAGGTAAGATAATAGATAATAATGTAATCTTGCTTGTAACAAGCATTTTCGTTGGCTTACAGATTTATGTTGGTAGCCCATAACGTAAAAAATGACACCGCCGTTGGTAACGTCGCTTTTGATTGGCTGATACAGCGGCGTAATAATTTCTGAGAGAAATGAGTCCATCAATAAAAGTGGATTTCCACAGGGATTGTGTATAGTAGATTAAATTATAAGAATTAACTTGAATAAATTTTTATGTTATGGAGCAATAACACAAAACCGCTTCGCGGTTTATTTACAGTACACTCCGTTTTTTTGTGAAATATACTCAAGTTAATCGTTAAATAAATACACAACAAAGTAAACAATTATGTCATCATTTATCATAAAGCACCTTTGTAAATGGCCAAGTATTATTTTGTTTTGTTATATACACAAACTGTTATACATTGTATTGATACCATAACAGAAACGTTTGATTTGTAACATTGTACTACCACAATGCAACAACGCAATGATGACGCAAATTAACTCCCAAACCAAAACTGGTGATTCTTCCAGCCAATTATTCAGTTTATGAGAGTGTACATGTTTTGGATATGTATATAACATGTATACTAAACCTGTTCAAATTCCACCTGACTTTAACGGAGCTTGACAAAGCTCATTTTCTAAACATTAAATAATTGCAAAAGTTCATTATGTGCCAAATTTACATAAACACGTGAAAATAACATCAATTTCTTTACATGTGGTTTATGAAGTTTCACTGCCACTCACATTACCTAGCTATACATACAAACATCACTGACCCGTTTTCATAAATCTGAAATGACACAGAAACCTTAAATGACAACCAAAAAAACTCGTTAATGATTTTCTTTGATACAAACTATCGTTAAGTTTATTTCCGCTATAAATAATCTTTCGTATCCTTGGTTACAGTGGAGAACTACAGAAGTACCATATACAGTCACCAACAACGCCCTCCACGCCCAGCTCTACTCGCTCGTCCCCCGGAAGGGAACAACCCCAAAAGGAGGCTTTAATGTGTGCTGTTTGCGGAGATAATGCAGTTTGCCAACATTATGGCGTAAGGACTTGTGAAGGCTGCAAGGGATTCTTCAAGGTAAACATCCATGATATCATCACATAAAGTTAAAAAAAGTAGGGCATACAATATATGTGAAGGTCTCTTAAATTACTACAATTTCGGAATTTCAAAAAAAATACATCAGTTGATTAATAGGTTAAGTCTTACAAAATATGAGTTATGGTTTATAAATTGATGATATAAAATTCCGTTAGTCTAAGAAAATGTATTAAAACTAGAGCTTATATTATTTTTTATGTAGTCATAAAAGACAGTGTGGTAATACTGTAAAATTAACTATTACTTTGACAAAAAAAGCTAAAAATTATCTTCATTTTATCTACTTATATATTTATTGTTTTCAGAGGACAGTTCAAAAGAATGCTAAATACGTTTGTCTTGCGGATAAGAGTTGTCCTGTGGACAAGCGCCGGAGAAACAGATGCCAGTTCTGCCGATTTCAGAAGTGTCTAACGGTCGGCATGGTCAAAGAAGGTGAAGATTTAATATAAATGTTTGATATCAGTCAATAATGAAACTGTATGATGAAACAAATAGGTTTTTTTTTTATTGCGCATGATCACCATTTGTAAATTGACATAAATAAAAACTTTAAATGACTGTCTCTTATTATGTCGAGCTAGGAAAACATAAATTTGGAAGCACACACACCTTTGTTTTGCACTTATTGAATATGTTTGATATACTTTGTGAATACGGTGTGAATACGGTGTGAATCCAGAGCTATTACCTTAATACAATATTCTGTTTCGCTTTGCAGTTGTACGAACCGATAATTTAAAAGGTCGACGCGGAAGGTTACCGTCAAAGCCAAAGAGTCCACAAGAATCTCCCCCCTCACCACCAGTCAGCCTCATCACTTCCTTAGTCCGAGCGCATGTAGACACAAGTCCCGATATTCCCAACCTGGATTACTCACGAGTAAGTTTTCTGAGCATTAACTGAAAATGATTGAGAAAAGTACATTATATGCAATTTCGTTCAGTCGTAAAGCACGATATTGTTTATTCTTTGTTCCCCATATAATTCGATTAGAACAAATTCATTAAATGTTCCTTTATTTTAAAAACCTTATTTCTGTTCTTTTGAGTTTTGTGCGCAACATCATAGCTACCAAAGCAAATCACAACATAACAATTAAAATATGTCTAACAGTTTAAGTAATGATACTTTTAAGTACTGCGATAAATACACATCAACATAACTACATACAATTCTGCTGCTGAAGCACGCCAGTTTGTTCTTGAGGTGAGGTTTTTTGTTGCTAATGAATCGCCCTTGTTTGCTTTCAGTTCAAAGTGCCTTCTCCCGAGGACAGTCCCCGAACCACCGATGATTGTATACGCCTCTTTTATGACATACTTCTCTCGTGCATTGACGTCATCAGAACATGGGCAGAACGTATACCCGGTTTCGGTGATCTTTCCAAAGAAGATCAGGAACTTCTTTTCCAATCTGCTTCACTCGAACTCTTTGTATTACGTATAGCATACAGGTAATTTTTACCCACTTATATAACAAGATTTGATACAGAGACTAATTGAAATGATCATTGTTGTGTTGATGCGTCCAATTTGCTATCAAATATTTGATGAAACACGAGTTTCATAAAGTTTGCATCTATTGTATTTTCTAACGTTATCTAATCAATGTTTTCTCACTTTTTTACTTCAGAGTACAACCCGCCGATGACAAGATCATATTTGAGAACGGCCTGGTGTTACACAGATTACAATGCTCTGATATGTTCGGAGACTGGATAGATTCTATCATCGACTTCGGTCTCTCCTTACACCGGAACACGTTTGACATTTCATCACTCGCATGCATGTCTGCACTAGCATTGGTTACCTGTAAGTATAACATAAACATTGGAATTCTTAGCCAGAAATCTTAGCACTTATTCTCCGATGTGACTTCGATAAGATTTTGTATTTTGATAATGCCAATTTCGATAATCGAAAACATTTCAGGAAATTGAATAAGTAGTAAATGTAAATATTTTCTCAACCCTCTTCATTATGCTTCAGAAATTAGGAAAACAAATCCTAACTTTTAAAACTTTTAGGTCGTTGATATGTCTTAACAAATCGGGCCTGTTTCTTTTTTAAATAAGACAACTCTTGACCGTAGAAATGTAAATCGAATCGCTTCAACATGTATTCTGATATTATTCCAAAATTAGTATTTTCCCTTTATGTTTGTAGTACGCCATGGGCTTCAGGACCCACAAAAAATGGAGGAACTGCAAATGAAGATCATCGACTGTCTTCGAGATCACTGCACCTATAACAGTGAAGCTCAGAGGAAACCCCATTTCTTCTCACTCATCCTCGGCAAGGTGGCGGAACTCCGTTCTCTTAGTAGAGAAGGACTCCAACGGATGTTTCATTTCAAACTGGACAAAGTGTTTCAAGCACCTGCGCAGATTGAATCTCTGTACTTGTCGGGTTCGCTCCCTTTCTAGACGTTTTCTTATCACCCTGTCTCATCTCGTGATCATATTTCATGACTATTAACTAGATTATTTTTGTACTACCAGTCTATCCATGTGTTGTAAACACACCATTGTCTCACATAAACCATGACGTAGAACACAGAGGCATATGACGTAGTTATTAGGATTGTGTGTGAGTAAATTATTACTCTAAAGTTGAACGGAAATGCATTATCATCTTCAATAAATGGTATTTTTAAAATGTCCGTTAATTATATCTTATGATTTATTAAATAAGAAATAAGTATAATTTAATTTGCAGGAACGCACCTAATGATCTGATTTCTACGTCAATATGCCTTAACATAATAGTTGCTATGGTTACGTCCTCACTACTTGAACCACGTGCACATAGTTTGTCTCCGTCTCTCATGTTAAGTTATGGACGAATGTCACATCATTCCTTTTGATGTTGTTGAAGTCAAAATATTTTCAAACATTTTCATATTTTTGTTGGATATTTTTTGGCATAAATATATATATATATATATATATACTAATTCAACTGTTGTGCATTTCAAGCATAGGTTGTTTATTGCAACCAAAATAGATTAAATGATATGAATGGTTTGTATATTATAGTTTTAGATATATTTCTGCAGTTTTTACCGCAAAATGTGTTCTGAAATCATTTGAATGAAAACGTTGTTTGTTGTATATAATAATTATTCCATAAACTTGAGATTATCCTTTTGTTTATACCTATAAAATTAATTCTAGTGCATAATAGGATTTTGACTCAAGGAACAACAACTTTTACATTGATAGATGATAATCTTAGGAGTCATCGATTATAAAAGCAAAATAGCAAAGCAAACTTTTACGAAAGGTTGCTGGTTTGTTAATGACGTAGGTATACTTTTTTAGTTACAAAGTGAATTTCAAAATTAGCGAGGATATAATTTTGCTTATTAAGATAATAATTTGATTATTACAAATCATGTGATTAAAATGCAATTTTATCAATTTTCCTTTACAAAATTAGCATTATTGTATATTCGAGAAATGCTTTAAGTTATCAACTTGAAAATACCTACAAACCTATACAAAATACATCTTTCCACTTTAAACCAGCATTCTTATATGAATTGTCAAAGTTGATGTATTTAAGACTCATAGGGAAAGTCCTCATTTGTTCATTTGTTTATGAACATTGTTCAAGGGAGGTTGGTTTACATGGTTGTACATTAAATGGATGTCCAGCTCCATACAATTAATCAATTTGCAAATGTAATGCCGAGGCCTCCTCTCAATATACATTACTTTAACGTGAATAATCTTCTTCTCGAAAGAGTTCCACACGAGAGATCTTGTTACTTTTTATTCGAACTTTGTTATTTGATTTATAATGATGCATATGAGAAAGAAAATAAATGCCATTCCGACATTATTTATGACAAAACAAAACAAATTCTAGAAAAGAAAAAAAAAATGTAAAAGGAAGTATTTATATTATTTATACTATTTAACTTCGTGGAACATATATCCTTATTTGTTTATCAGGAATTTGTCTAGAACAATTTTAACTTAATTTACTATCTCGCAGCATATTTCCTAGTCAAGAAAAATGGAGGTATTTAAAGATCCATGTACCACTGCCAAAACTGTAACAAAGTGTAGGAAACGTTTTTTCCGACATGGCTTTAAATTTGTTAAATCATTTCTCAAAAGAAAGTCATACCTAACTGGAATCTGATGAAAAAAATGAAGATGAAACAAACAAAATATGATCAATAATAATGTTCTGAATTAAAAAAATAAAATAGCGGGTCTAGACCAGAAATCGAACGATAGACTTCAGATTATTATACTATCGTTGGGTTTTTTTCGTTTTTCTTGAGAATGTATTAAGCATTCATTGGTCCAGCCATAGGGCTTCAGGGTTTGGGGCCCCCGAGGTTCCTCACAATGCATATAGTTGTTTTAAGTAATATCAGAACAATTAACACTATATGAAATCAATTAAAAAGAACATACAAGCAGAAATCGAACCATAGACCTCAGAGTATTATACTATCGTTCTAACCGACTGACCTACCTAGTCAACGGCAGTGTCCAGGGCTAACTCTGCTACAGTTATATCCAAACACGCATTAAGGGGAGGTTAGGGATCCTTAAGATGCAAAAATAATATCTAAAGAATGCTTATTAGCAAACTAGATGTACAGGAGAAAGAACCCAAAGCAGAAATTTGAACGTGTATTGATACCCGCAGTGTTCAGTCCTTCTAGGTATTCGATATAACCGGTGAAGTTCAAGTATTATGTTTAAGAAGTGGTTTGTAATATTTTATAAAATTTGTAAAAGACAAAACGAAAGTAAGTGATTGTCTTTATTGTGTGTCACGCCGGTGAAAGATTTTGATGTCGTGAGAACAGTGCGAATGTGTGTGATGTATTGACCCAAATAGTGCTAACGTCGAAATATGTTGATTACAGTTTATTTTGACGTTTTGATAAAAAAAAAAAAAAAACGATTTGTATCACTGTGCCTGCCTGCGTCTATCCCCTCAATGACAAAGACACTCTTTATTGCTTTTTAGTGCTTGGAATGTTATACTGAAAGTTACTGATTTAGTAATGGTATTTTCTATTTTACTTACTACAATGGTTTATTAATGATAGTTGAGTATGGTCCAATGATATTGGTAGTATATGTGTTGTACTTTACAACAGCATAAAATTATTATCTTCTAGACATTAATTACTATATAATTTTAAATAGCACTTTTCCTTGCTACAGTAATATTCATCTTTTTTTCTTAAAGGAATTCAATTTTTGGAAAACCTGCAAAATGATGTCTATGTGAATAGAAAAATAACTTTATAAACTAACAAAATATTTCAAGAAAAATTTGGAAAACAAATAATAATTATAAAGTATCAAATATTACAAATCTAAAGCAGGAAACCATAAAAGAAAGCACGTCTTCAAAATGTCATCAATTACATAACCATAAGTGCTATTTCTCACATATGTTATATATTTACGGTGCATAAAGGATCAATTTGAATTTTCTAAACAAATTTAATGTTATTACCAATGGTTTTTGTAAAAACGTAAAGAGATATATTTCAAGGAATCGTAACTTATTGTCATCCCTTTGTGTCATGTAGATTAAAATGCCTTCCTCGATTCTTGTAGCAAAACAATCCAGAACAAACTGTAATGTCAAATTGATCATCACTTACAAATCAGATGCATTCCATGATTGTATATGTTGTTATATAAGAAAGGTGAAAGAATACTGCTTTTTCCAGTAAACTGAAACAGCTGACACAAAACGTATCATCCTTGTCTTTCTGCTCATTGCCAAATATTTTACATCAAAATGGCAATGCAACATTTCCATATGTAATTTCATGTAAAAGAACTATTTTTATTTATGATCCTTTCGGAGTAGTTTAAGAACAATAAGCCAAACTATGGACATAAGTCAAATAAAAGTCAAACAAGTTATACATGATACATGTATATATATATCTTTATTTTGATATTTTCCGTTAGTTTCATTTTGATGATTTCAAATGTTCCAACACTTGTAACGCCTGTGATAGCTGTATTGTTTCTAAAACGTTGATTGGTTAGATTGTTATGACGTAGTGCCATCATGTGTCAGGTTTTTATCAGAGGTCAATTTCCGAAATCCTGTACATACTTGTTGATGAACTGTTGTTTTTGTTGTGTGCGTATCCATGGTAACTATTATTTCGCACTTTTTGATAGTACAGTGCACGTGTTTTTCCACTTTGTTAGATGTTCCCAGCGGTTTAAGCCAAGCTTAAACAGTGTCATGTGACCACTTGTGTCGTCCGCTCATCAGATTTTAATATGAAATAAAGTGTAAAAAATGAATATACCATGCTACGAGTTTTATATTTGGTTTTCTTTAATAATCTGGTAACTTATATATATATATCTACATTGTAGTTAAAACATTCAAATATCTATCTTTTTGACATATTTGTTGTAAAATAGTCAATACGAATAGAAAATGGCACACAGGGGCACAAAGTAGAAATCAGTGAGTTGTTTTCAACAGTAGAGGCGAAGAAACCGGTCATTTGCACTCTCTTTGCTTGCATGTAGACGTTTTCGAAATCTCGCAAAATAAGTTTTCAATTCCTGTTTGTGTTCAAAACAAACTAAGCATTTATAATTCATACCAAACTGATGAATCGTCTACCGAATGTATTGATTTATGTTTTAAATAATCACTAGAAATACCAACAAGAAAGAATCTTTCTAAAGATTTACGAAATTATTGCAGAAAGCCTGCAAAAAAAACACGTTTAAAGAACCTGGACCTTTTAAAAATAAACCTGGGCCTATGTAATACTGTATAATATGAAATGTTCGCTGTGTATCAATACTCGTGGTTTTCCTGGTTCCTTTTGAGCCACGAAAATAACTACAACATTTGAAGGATCCAAGAGAGTTTGTACCACAAAAGGATATAAATGGCTTCAAACCAAAACGAAAGTATCCACGAACATTTCGTGTTGTCACCCTTCTAATTTGTAACACTCTTGCTGATTGGATAAATTGCCGGGGTATATATTTCTATAGATCCCGCTATGCCGGGGTCTATAAAAACCATGCGAGGGGAGATAACTCAAACGAGAATCTCTCTTCACAACGATGGCGTCCGACATACTCAAGAGTTCTGGGTTTGACAATCACTCAGAGGATAAACAACCTACAAGCAATCTAAAACGACAGCAAATTCAACAAAACAGACAATGAGGGCGCCGCTAGGGTGCTAATTACAAAGTGTATTGTCCGCTATGGGCTATTTTTGAAGCAGTCAAGTACAACTCAAACTCACAAAGTGACTTAAAAGTTTGCAAAAACAAAGTAATAAAAGATTGTCAGGGTGACACATTCGTTTAATATCGAACCGAGCCGAAGGCGAGGGGTCTATAAAGACAAAAGGGGTCTATGAGCCCATTGAAAGATAACTAATAGTGTACAGAAGATAACCTAAGTCTATATTTTAATTTAAACCCTGGAGAACATTGACATTTTTTTGTACACATTATGTAAATAACACACAATCAGAACCTGGGCCTATGTTTTAATTTAAACCCTGGATAACATTGACATTTTTTTGTACACATTATGTACATAACACACAATCAGAACCTGGGCCTATGTTTTAATGTAAACCCGTACATAATCTGGAGCTATATTCTAATGTAAGCAAATAGAAAACATCAGACTACATTGTAATGTTAACACAAAGAGAACATGTGACTACATTGTAATGTTAACACAAAGAGAACATGTGACTACATTGTAATGTTAACACAAAGAGAACATGTGACTATATTATAATGTTAACACAAAGAGAACATGTGACTATATTATAATGTAAACACAAAGATAACCTCGGACTATATTTTAATGTAAACACAAAAATAACCTCGGACTATATTTTAATGTAAACACAAAGATAACCTCGGACTATATTTTAATGTAAACATATCGAGAACATGGATCTATATTCTAATGTAAACACAAAGAAAACCTCGGAGTTTATTTCAATGTAAACCCGCACATAACCTGGGACTATATTTCAATGTTAACACATAGAGAACCTGGGACTATATGTTAATGTAAACACAAAGAGAACTTGTGACTACATTTTAATGTAAACCTGTACATAACCTAGGACTATATTTTAATGGAAACACATAGAAAGGATTGGACTGTGATTTAATGTAAACGCATAGAGAACCTGAGACTATATTTTAATGTAAATACATAAAGAACCTGCGACAATGTCTGGGGTCATCG